ACACCGAACGAGCACACACCACACACCACACAACACACCCACACACGACACACACACACACCACGACACACAGGGTACTCTGGTTAAGGCCATGGGTGGCAGGTGAGGCTGCCAGTGGGCCGGGGCCTAGAATCGAGAAATCGGCGGTCCAGGGTCATGGCATGAAAGCTCCCAGCTACTGGAGTCAATCACTCCTCGGCTCCAATCCTCCTTGTCTGGTTCCTCCTCCTTTTACGCAGTCACGACTCCTCCCAGCATCGCTCAGCTGCGAAATCGAGCATCAGATTTGGCTGGCCAGCCTGGGAACGCAAGGTGTAGGTGTGCCAAAAATGTAAGAAGAAAAAAAAAAAAGGGCGTGAACAGTGCGTGTGTGTGCGTGTGTGTAAAGTGCTTTAATGGCGGCTCGTAACCTGTTGCCCTATTGCTCTGACAGGCAGACATCAGATGTTTGAACCAGAAGCAAAGCAATTTGTTTCTGTTCCCTGCCTGGTAGGCTTGTAGGCTGTTTAGGCCAACGGAAGACAAACAAAAGTAAGACGCCCAGCCTCAATCATACACACGTATTTTATCATTCCTCGTGATTTACCATCAACCTCCAAGAACGTCCATCCTGGACCGATGGCCTGAAGCTTAATTTGACTTTTGGCCCCGCGCCAGTAATTATCATTTCAGATCCGGCCTGCAAGTGGAGCTTGGTGATCAATGGTAATACCAGACGAAGTTCCCACCAGAGGGAATAAGAATTCATGAGAGCGAGTATAGTTGTGGTGGTTGAGTAGTGTTGTCAATCTTAAAACATGCTTGTAAAATGCTGGCCTGGCGGTGAGACGGAGAACGGAACACATACAGACCCAAAAAAACAGGCATGCTAGAATATATTGCCGACCTAGCATGCATACTACCACCGTAATCTATCATGAGTGAGACAGATGTAGGTCTTCAGTTGAGGGCATAGGGAACACCAAATCTTAAATATAGATATGCTTGTGGAGGTATTATTGGTGTGATGGTTTCCAAATAGCCCCATAGATCGCTGTTTGGATCGGATGGGTCGCAAGGGAGAACTTTTACATGGCATCTACGTTTTCAGAGCGACTCTACTTTGGGCTTATCCGTGTTATTGTTTATGTCTTTTCCTTCTTCTCGGAAGCGTTTTCTTTTGCCGGTAGAGATAGGTAATGTCCGGTTTGCTTGTTGAAGCGTGTGGTGTGATCAAGCAGCGAGGTGTGTGTCGTGTTGTTGTGCTCTGTGTCCGTAGTGTTTGTTCTCACAGTGCTCGGAGACTCCGTGGAAGAGTCAAAGAACATACCATACAGGTGATATTAGCTTCGGGCGTACATCGATCATGCGCCATACACACATACTGCGGCACTAGATTTGATATAATAGACCCTTGAAGACACGCGCTAGCGACTGTTGCTGCTTACCAGCGTTTCCTTGCCTGTAGTCTTAGATAATATCTCGAACTAGGGCATGCAGAGAAGAAAGAAGTTGGATAACATGACGTCTTTTTCTTACTCTACGTCTTCGACTAGTTTTGATTGGTTCATGAAAATCTACTGTAGCACTGGAGAGGAGGAACCAAGGGAAATTCGACAACAGTCTGAACAGACATCTGTGTCCGTGCACATGCATAGCGTTGGGGTGTGTTTGTTGTGCAAGGTGTGCGCTACATAACCTCTCAATCTCGCGGTACTCTGCCTGCGTAGGTGAGAAGTCGCAATGAGGGCGCGAAGAGTGTCTCTCACGCTCGCTCATTAAGCACTTGTGACTGAGAAACATACCTATCCAAGAGAGAGCTAACAGTTGATGTCACATGAGGTATCAATTAGTTGTAACATTAATTGTAGATATTGGCTATAGATATCTGTCTGTGCATTACGCTGATAGAGTAGCACTCAGTCTTACCCGCGAGAATTCCTGCCGCCTCCTCGCGCTTACTCGCAGCGCGCCACCGCTACATCGGTCTCGGCATAGTGGACAAACATACATCCCAACGTGGCGCCTGGAAACTATACCGACCTCTTCCCTAAACAGATCTTGCTCCCATCGCACACGGAGTCTCTCCTGTAGTTTTTTCAGAGATCAAATAGTTCCATAGTCTAATAGAATTCTCACTATACACATAAACTACACTGCACACCACCAGGAGATATAACTCACTACGTACACTCGTGACAATTTGTGTTTATTAATAATCACGGATTACAAAGCGCATATACGAGTAATTATACTGTGTATGACTTATTTATTCATGGATGCATTTCCCTGCTGAAGAAGCGATTTTCCTTTGTCCCTGTGCTATCTAAAATTCATTACAAGAAATAAAGAATCCATTAGTTGTGTCCACACACACCCCTCCGATCATGATTGCTATGAGATGAGAGATTTAAAACTTATGAGTGATGTACAATATAAGAGCTTAGTCCGCTGTGTTGTTCGCTCTTTGCTCTCCCACAAAAATGTAACCCGCGCCATTTTTATCTTGCTGCTCAGACAAAATAACTGAGTGCGCTTTTGGGGGTAATTGGAACTCGAGTACCATATCAATACACATATTCCTTCCGATTCGTACTTCCAACAAACTGTCATGTAATTGGTTAATTGAATTGAGACTGATAAATGTCTTAAGAACATATTACAGTTGGTCTCCCAATGTCTAGTTTATTGTCACCGGCACCTATACCTGTTTGATATAGAAAAACACAGTAAAACCTTCTAAAAATTTCTAATCCATCAGCTCAAAAAATGCCAACGGCATGAATGTGACCTCAGATTGCAACGGTGGTTGGGTTTTGGCTTGTGGGGTCTACATGTTTTCTCTCAGTGGCCTTCAGGGAACTTGGCAGGGTAGTAGTAGATCTGGCTCCCACAAAAGACGCCCCAGTATTCCTGGTCGCATCGACGCCACCTGGCAGGCACAAAAGTGAAATCTAAGTCAGGTTGAAGTCAAGTGAAATGCTCCAAAGACAATTTAGTGCACCATAAAGAGATGTGCAGTCCTTTGTGTATGAACTAAAGGAGAGATGGTAGTGGGTGAACCTGTGGAAGAATGAATGAGGAAGCCAAAGACAGGCATATGTAATGCAGCAGGTACTCTTAAGTATGTGTGTGCATTTGTGTGCCTGTGCATACTCTATTTTTTATAAAGCATTGTAATTCAGGCCAGATATGCAGTCCTTAGAGGCTGGCGTCACTGCTGCAGAGCGGGGGTAACCAGCCCCCATAATCCCTCTGCATGACCGACTGCCAGCTCATGCCACGACTCCAAGCTGGCTTGTGTTGTACTGGAAGTGTGAAGAAAAGACTTGTGAGCAGATAAGAAGTGGAAACTGTACTCATCTGGGTCCACTTGTGGCCTGTGAAAGAGCTTCTTTTTTTGCTACATAATGAAGCAGAGACTGTATGAAGTGACAAAATCCCAGAGCTGAAGCACTACGGGGGGGAAGGGTCTGTGAATGAGATAAGAGAAATGGGTGAGACAGAGTTTGGGCTTTGTTGGGGGGGGTTTGAGACTGTTTACCTGTGTATATCTGCAGATGGTGGTTGGTTTATCTCTTCACTTACACATTCAGACGAGCTGAACCCGCTTCCATTTGCAATATACTGACAAATTGTTGCAGTGAAACAAGAACTGATGCTGTCTCAAAATCTCTGGGAGAAAAGTGTGTGTAAACAGAATTAGCTCAATGTAAATGGTCAACATCGCCATCACTTCTTTCCATTCGCTTCATCCGGTAATTGAGAACAACGAATGAAAAAGACAAGTGAAACTGATGTGGAATCCTGAGATACAAGTTTTAAACCTAACCAGGCTTTTTGGGGGCATCTTGGGAGGTTTATTTGAATGAATTTGGGTTCAACAATCTTTCCCTTGAGAAAAACCCAACCTCGTGTTGAGCGCTTTTTGTGAGGCTTTCCTCACTGTAACCTGAGTTTACATGATTTTCTTTTTTTTATTATCATTTCTGTAAAGTGTGTGGTCAAAGTGAGGGAAACATGTTTCATTTTGGGATGTTTTGTGGTTTTAGTCGATTGGGTTCTTGGATTTCAAGGCCAATCACTACTAACATAATGACCCCATGATCATATATTTTGGGATGAGAGTGGAAACAATTTGCTCATTTAAGATAATTTTTGGTTATTACAAAGAAACTTGATGCCATGCTTGAAAAAGTCCCCTTTTGTGGTGAATGTTCATGTTGTTTCCTTTAAATTGACCATACTGTCTACAAATGCACAATTTGCCCTGTATTAACTGTGTTTGAGTGAAACTGAATTCATTCTTTTTAGCGGTCATGACAGTTGAGATGAAGGGTTCGGCCAGAGGAAGCGTTTTCAGCGTGGTTATACAATGTGCTGA